TCTTTGACTATAGAACACAGGAACCACATGCCACCCAAAAACAAGCCTGTATGGATGTAAAAATTCATTTGAATAAGTCAAGCAAGGTCAGCAGATCAGTTAGAAAAACATGTCCTATCGGGGCAGAATGAGAACGGCTCAACCACTGAACATGGTCAGAGGTAACTCAGAAAGATCCTGAGGTGTCTCTAGCTATTTAATTCCGTACATATTAAATGACCTTGGATTCAGTGTAGGTAGGGGTTACTATTATGTACCTTTGCCTGTTTCAACAGTTGCCTCTGCATGGCAATAGGAAGTCCAGGTTGAGAAGCAAACTGACCTTTCAGAGCTCTGGCTATGGCAGCTGCCTAAGAACTGCCACTTGCCTACCAGGAAGAAAGTCACTGTCCACTGTATCCAATACGCATATGTAAATCTGTGCAGTAACTATCCTCTCACCCTACTTTGCCTCACTGTGATTTACTGTTTCTACCACATTTTGTGTCTATAGATGTGTGATAAGAAGCACTATCACTCCTAGGGTAAAGGGGTGGGCCCTGAACTACAGACTAGAGCTCACATATTCCTTCTGCCTGTGCATGTGGAGGCCCCTGCAGGCGTGGGAAGGCTGAGTGACCGTGTGGGACCAAGCAGAGCCCTGGAGTGGGAACAGGGCAGGGCCAGGATTGCTGTGTCCTCAAGATGAGTGGTTCCCAATGGAGGGCACTGTCTCTGAGGGGGTCTTTGGAAACTTCAGGGTATTTTTGGTTGCTGGTGGCTACCTAGAGTGTGCAGGGCAGTCACATAAAATGAAGAACTGTCCCCTGTGCTACTTTTCAAAGCCTCCTTGGACATCTACATAAGTAAAAACCTACAGCTAATCACCTGAGTACAGAATGTGCTTCCCTCTGATAAATGCACAATGTATTTTGTACATAGTTAAATAGGTGTTAGATATTACCACATTTTTTTGGTGGCATCAGGGTGGGGAGGTGGGAGGGGGACATCATCAAGAATCCTCACCATTTTGGAAAAGCACATTAATAACCCAAGCTGGGGACCAGCAGTTAGCATAATGGCTATGTCGCTGGACTCCCATGTAGTTGACCATGGTTCAAGTCCCGGACCTGGTTGCTTAAACTCACGCTGGGTG